ATTTCAACTACTCTGGTGAATTGAAGGCCCTTTTCGGTGCCAAATGCTGCAACCATATATCGATTGCGACCCCGCCATTGGAATCACATTGTTCGGCTTGTTAAAAAACTAAGGTGCTAGGTGTCCAAACGCTTCCTGCACAGTAGGAGCGGATCATACATGGAAGCGGAATCTACTCAACGCAGAACTAAAATATTACATTTTTTGTCTGTTTTCTTCGGATAAAACCTGAACCAGATCCCGTTTGGATAAAACCTTCCACGTTTTCGAATAAGATGACCCGATAGTATGAGGATTCGCTTATACCAGCTTCTCTTATCGAGCAATTATACCACTTTGATAACTGATCAGAGGAGCGACCCCGCTTGACCGATTTGGGGAATGTATCGTATAAAGGAAAGATCCGCCTATCACGATGGTGTGCCTAGCTTTCATTATACACTAGCAAATAAGACCGTGTTCGATGAAATATGCTAATAAAATGTGATCTAAGTGTTGTTCATTTTTCGGTGATTTAGGCGAAAAGGATGATATTGTGGTATCTTACACTGTCCACTTTCTTTTTCTCCTCGTCCATTGTGGCCTACGCGTGGATCACTTTTCAAAGGAAGGAGCATAAGGTATATAATTAATTCAAACAGTTTCAATCAATAACACATGGGCTGCTTTATATAAATAAATTAATTAATGTTGTATCTATGCTTCAGTAGACAGGAAACTGCGGCTTGTTGTGTCTTCGTATGAATTTCTGATGATTAGATTGTCGCTGCTCTGTTCATTATTGACACCTGCACCTACGACCTCCTCTCCCTAGCGACAAGTATACGGGAGGGGTGGATGGGGCAAAAAGAGTCACTTTTCTTCCTTGACTTTCGAGGCGCTATAAGATACACTTTATCAAATTCTGATCGGACAATTCTACCACCGTATTGAAGAGCATATTAAATACTATCGTGATACTCCGCCACAGCCTTCTGGAGGATCGCCATCGAGAGATTCTGCCACGCGACCGTGAATGGGTACGTGAGTTCAGCGACATCGTTGATTTCTCCGCCACTGTAGACCACCCTGTTGAGCTCCGCCCGAACCGGGTAATTGAGGGAGTTTAGGTCAGGTGATCTGCTTAGATACTTCATCTTCTTCAGGTACTCAACGTCCTTCCATTCCAAGTGGGCGAGTGTTTTTCCAATGCGCTTCGAACCCACGAGGTGTCGCCCAATCCTGTAGCAGTACAAAGTTTCCAAGAAGGTACGGGTGACGACATGTAGGGAGGATATTCTTCTTGAGTTGCTTGATGTTATCGCCAGCGTTCACCCTCAGTCCGGGGTTCACGAAGAAAATATCGGTCTTTCCATTCCAGGTACTCAGGTCCATACCATCAGCCCGCGCCTTGGCGACTGTGGTGGAGATGATGTCCTAGCGACATTGCTGGAGCTGCTCGTAAATATCTATGGATGATCCACACTAGAAGTTTCGCAGCTGTTCGGAGGTGACATGAATTCCAAAGGTCTTCCCCAGTCAGGCTGCGACTGGAGATGACTTCATATTTTGGTGTACATGAATGCGGTGGGCGAGAGCCAGCTCCTGCTTATCGAGGAACATCTTGAGTATGTTTTGCCCTGGCACCCGTATCCACAACCTCTGTCTGGGCTGCAAAAACTTTGCTGATATGTGACTCGCTCGAAGTGACTTTTTTGCCCCCCCCCCTGTATACTACCCCCACGTCGCGGATGCCGCGTCATAGGCTTGGCCGTGATCCAGGGAGCACACGATATCGTGGTATGACGCTGCAACAGAATGCATGCACGTAATACACCATTTAAGTTGTCGCCTTGCAGAGTGAAAAATCAAAGGTCCCGAAGGTCAAGCGTCTGTGGCTGCTTTATCATGGTCCTTTGGGGGGAAAAGTTGCATGTGCGAACCTAGCTGCCGAATGCAAGGAGAATTTTGCGGATCGCTCAATCACGGGAACTGTCTTCAAATGTCCTTCTGCACTAATCATTAGGACACCGTTCACAGTGTGCGTCATTGAAGAATCCGTTGCATCCGCGAATGATGTGAGATATGTATCGATTGTCGAGAGAAAGAAGGATCGCTGACTTTCACGTCTACAATCGTTCGCTTGCGCGACTCGTCTATCCTGAATAACGATGAGTATTCAAACCTATTCGCGGTTGTCGTGGATCTGCGATTCTCCAAAGTCTCAGATCATGAACAGTCCGTAACATCAGTCAAACGATTTTGCCATTTTCTACTTCTTTTATAGGTGTTGTTTGCAATTCTCTCGTTTGTTGCTGGCCTGGTGCTACTATGGCTGGGAAGGAGAGCAGCTAATGCCTTCTATAACTGGAGGATTACACGAAAACGACAGGTAAATCTTCCTAATCGGTTTTGCAGAGCTTCCTGCAGCGCCAGCTAACCTTTGCGCTGGTCAGGATAAGCTGATGGTATTTGGCTTGCACTCTGCTGGTTTTGGATGTGCTTTAGTACCACTTTTCGAGTGGGTTGGCGTTGATGACCTGTTTTCCGTATCCAACAATAGCTAGGGTGCCAACTTAGCTGCCTCTTCGTGTGTTTTGCATATCTCAGGGATAGAGAAGCTCTTAAGTCTAGAAGTAGATGAAAAAAGCAGAAAGCGCTTTCAACTGTTTTCGCTTCAAAGGAAGCGGATTGTAATGTCTCGTGCAGGGCGGCTCTCTGAAAGATAGAGATAGGGTATTGTGGGCCTCGATAGCGGCCACTATCCACCGAGGATAATCGATCTTGTTCACGACAAAGCATCTTCATACTCTGTCGCTGGGCGAACGGGGATGTCATTTACAAGTCACAGGCTGTCTTAGCGGCACGGTCGCGCTGCGGCGCGTCCGCGTGGCGCGTCAGCGATCGGTGGTATTATGTTTCAGGATAGGCTGCGTTTATACTTTGCGGCAGCGTAGCGTAACGGTTCCAGCGTACGCCAGCGGCAGTGTCGGGGAAAGGATAGATATCGATCTAGCTTCTAGCGTGCCGCTGGCGTAGCGAGGGCACGGGAAGCATAGCTATCGATCTAGCTTCACCAGCGTTTCTCCAGCTTTTTCCCAGCGCTTGCAGCGACGGGGCTAGAGAGTATTGAAGGTAGGAGAGTAAAAATACTCTCCTACTTTCAATACTCTCTACGCCCCTCTCTAGCTCCGTCGCTGCAAGCGACCGGAAAAACGCTAGAGAAACGATGGTGAAGCTAGATCGATAGCTATGCTTCCCGTGCCCTCGCTACGCCAGCGGCACGCTAGGGTACGCTAGCGTGCCGCTAGCTTACGCTGGTGACGCTGGTGAAGCTAGATCGATATCTATCCTTCCCCCGACACTGCCGCTGGCGTACGCTGGAACCGCTACGCTGCCGCAAAGTATAAACGCAGCCATAGACGGGGTTTTAGCAGAGTTCCCCTTTGTGTCCAAAAGAGACACTCGTTTTCTTATAAGTTTGAGGGCTACGGCATTCAGATGGACCAGAAAGCAGCTGTGCCAGACAGTGAGCATCCAAAAACCCATTGTTGTTCCAAATGTTTTGACATCAGGTTTTCTCAGTGCCCTAGATTCTCTAAAAAATCTCTCACGAATAGTTAGCTTTATGCTACCGAATGCTTCCTGGTGATATGGTTCCATCCACCCTTTCAACTTCAATTATTTATCTCACCTGCGCTCAAGACATGAGAGTAATCGACAATATCTAACATTAGAGCAACAACTTTCGGTAAAGCGACGTGAGGCATACCCTTGTTTTTGTTGGTTTGTCCATTCTAGAACGTGGCAAGAACCGTGATATAATTGGAGAATTGCAGTATCGATCAACCTTCGAGTATGAAGATATGTCGTGATTCAGCAAGGGAGGGATACCGATCGTCATACCACGGGATCGCGTCAGTAAAGTAGTCCTTGCAAGAGAAACGGAGGATTACCAGAGTAACCGGAAATTCCGTCAGAAAGATACCTTACTTTGATTCGAGGAGACCCCTCGAAAAATTCGACTCAAGTTGTTCGTGCCATCGCTTTTCATCAGAAGACTTTTGCACGTTTTAGAGTGGGGTGTTTGGCAAGAGTCACGCCAAGCTCGGAAAAAGGTCCCCGCGCGCGGCAGCCTTGTCGCGTGGTGGACCTACTTTCCAGCGCGGTGACCTACTTTTAGCGCGACGGTGACTCCTGGTCGTCTGCCGTATTTCATCGACTGTATGGACTAGCTTAAGCTCGCTCACGCACTCAGAAAGCCCGTGGAAGGGACCTGTGAACAGGCCACATTCCGTTTCCGGTTACTCACGGTGACTCTTCGTGTTGCCTTTTCCGTAAATAAGCTGCTCAAAACTTTGCCTTTTCTCGTAGATACACAGCTCAGGCTTTCATTGCCTTTATTTGAGCAAATCTGAATTCCAGTGCCAGTCATGCCGGGGAAATAGGCGGCATATGTGAATCGGGCAGAGCAGGACGTCGATATTCCTACCATGGAGCCTCGTCAGTAAAGCAGTGAACTTTCGGTTTGCAGAGCACAGCTAAGGAAAAACAAAATGCCAGAAATAAAGACCTAGACATAAACCATTTAACCAAAGCCAGTTTCCTACACGGATCATATTACGTCGGATCAACGTGTTTCAACTTTGCGAGCTGGTCGTCGAAAGCGTCGGTCGCGTCAGTTGCATCACTTAAATCGACGTCCTCGTAAGGTATGAACGCAGCCTCAGCCACCACACGGTCAACCCGGCGCACCCCGCGGACGCACCGCAGCGCGACCGCGCCGCAGAGACAGCTTGTGATTTGTAAATAACATCCAGAGGGGGAGGGGGGAGACCAGACAAGTCACTATGAATGGAAACGATGCCCGTTAAGTTAAGCCACGTCATGTTCCCCCATTCGGATCATCGGACCTTATGTTTTCTCGGTCAGATCATGCGCACAAGCACAAATCGAGATTTGGTTTCGCTGAATAGTAGCCACTTTCAAGGAACACTGTGCCATAAATTGTTCGTACATAGATGCTCGTAGGAACATCGGTTTTTAAAAGCGAAGCTGATACATTCATTGAGAAACACACTAAATTTTAGGGACTCGATACTTTGGTTGCAAGGAAGAGATCTCTGCTGGAAACAGTGAAGGAGACAGAAACATTCAAGGTTTGAAATTTCACAGTTGGTTTTTCAGTGCAAGCCTTAGTGTAGTTATTTACGTTACGTTTTGAGGTTGCCAAAGAAATCTTGGAAAAGTACGACCAGGAAAGTCCCAAGTCTGCATCTCAACCCTCTAGTCCGATTCCTGAGAGGCGTTCACTTCCTATAAATCGAATTGGTATGTATATTGTCAGACACACGACGGATTTACCATTTAACAGCTAGCTAATAAGAAACAGGTCACTCGTTAGTTTTTATTAAGTTACACTAAAGTATTAGAGATGAGATGTAAGCTGTACTCGCTGAGATATTCCCTTGCTTCTCTGCTTTTCCATCTTAATCTGATATACGCAATGGCGCTAGTACAATGTAGGTCCACGGTCATATATCTAACTAAGATATGCCGCCACATTGCATAACATATCATGACACGTGGGTGGTTAGGAAACTACGATTACCAAACTTTTTATTCTGGACTGCATCGTTGAGTATCAGAAAATGCGAGCTTCTGCCCAAGCCCTGAAAACTTTTTGTCAATTGTATAGTTATTATATTGTTCATACTTTGGTTCGCTATAGACCAGCAATCTTAACCAAATTCAATTCAATTGATAGGAGAACCAACCATTTACCTGCGCTTCTTTTTCCGGATCGGTAAACTCTTTTGTCAGCTTTGAGCAATAATTTTCAATGGTCATCAAAATTTGCAGTCTTCCACTACAGATGATAGGCTTGTAATTAATTTTCATCGATACGAGTTGTGTTTTTTTTTATTTTTCTTGAGGTGTACACCACCATGTGCCACAGCTTCTCCGGCAGAGTAGTTGAAGGTGTCTCTAATTCAGATCAATTCCAAACTCCTACACAAGACAAGGGTCCTGTCGGTCCCTTCATGAGCGGCCCTCCACGCCCTCCCATAAGGAAGTTATTGACGAAGAGCTCAGAGAATATTACTGCTATTGAGGTAGTTTATTTTTTTGCAGTTTTTGTTCGGGTATGCTTTTGTTTAAGTATAGTTTCATCGAATTTTATGAGTCCTCATTCGTTATGTTAGGGTGCTGCGGTAAAACCAATAGCGGTATCGCGTATTAATCCTATCCGCCCATTTCAACGAGAAGGTACCACAGTAATCGATAAAATGGTTGACTACTTCTTTGGGGATGGACCTGGTCAAAGGTGAACTCAGATAATCGCGCTGTGTTATTATGAGAGTGAAGAGCACTTTGTTTGTCAGGAATGCTCTAATATGTTCAAGTTGTCATGGACATAACGGAATGGCGCTTCCAGCTGAATTTGATTATCTCGCCTATGTGTGCTACATTTGTGGACACTTTAATCCTGCTAGGAAGTTCAGGTATGGGCAGTATTCGTTTGAGAATTGATGCGAGCAATATATGTAGTAGAGAATGCCGTGTTTTTTTTCAAGACCAGGTAAATTAGTTGCTCCACCAGCTTCAACGACGTCGACCCCGCAGATCTCTAAGTCCAGCATAACTTCAGTAAGTGTACTACTGTACGTTTTTGTTTATGCGTACATCATAGCTGTAAGACCAGCGGTGCTATTTACGCTTAGCTACTCCTTCCTCAGGAATTGTGATCAGGTTTTGGTCGTCTTCACATAAATGGCCCGTAGACAAGTTGATCTTGGGTAAGTCCGCGCGGCGTCGCGATCGCCGCATTTGCAGGCACTGAACATTGCACCTTGAGTTTAACATTTTAGTTGTTATACCCGCAAAATATGAATGGACCTCCAACAGGTGTTTGATATCTTTTGCAATAGAAAGTAGCAGTAAAAGTTTGATGGTAGAACCGATAAGAAGTGGGGTAGCTGAAGTTTGTAGCTAATAACAAAGACGAGGATCTATGTGGAGGAAGTTCAATAGAAGAAGGAGAAAGAAGGAGAATAGAAACAGGTTCAATTGCATCAGTAAAAAGACATTCGTGAAATAGAAACTGAATCGTATTGATTCTACGTACCATACATTTTTGTTTCTAAACAGCGAAAATAGAAAATTGCCAAACAAAAACCAAGAGCGCCGTTTGGCAGCCTTCATAATTTGCGCTGTGAAAAGACAATCGGAGAATTAGGTCACTCTATCAAGTCTCAGGGTCCACTGTGACATTCTAAATAAAATGTAGTAAGATAAGATTCTAAATAGAGTGTAGTAGTGGACACTGAAACATGATAGAGGAATCTGATTCTCCGATATTTCGGCCTTTAGAATCGCAAAGTATGAACGCAGACTAATGGCACTCTTGCTTTTGTCTGATCATTTTTTTTCTCTTCTGGTTTACAGGTGAACAATTGTTTGTGGAATCAGTATAAATGGAGTTCTGTTTCTGCAGTTCTTTTAGTATTGAGCAGCTGAACCTGTTCAGTGTTGGCACGTGCGTCAATCGCGACGCCGCATTGGTCTCCTACAGATATTGAGAGTATCTAGGGTTTTTCTCGAGGGTGGTTAGACCTCAGACCTCTTGAACTTGAACATAGCATCTGCTTCGCTCAATACCTGACAACGATCTCACAGGCGCCGGGGCGAAAACGCTAAGGACGAATTTTCCAAAAATTGGTCCAAGCTAGTTTCACCTTCTGAACACATATGTTACATTCGGTTGGAGAGAAAACCCTCGAGTGCGTGCACTGCGGACAGCTACGCCAAAACTGGTTACTTCACTTTACTTTATTAAAATCAGTAATGAGATAAACAGTGAAAAACAAGATATCTCAAGGAAAGAAACACAGATTTCCGGTAACTGCACCAAGAAACAGGGGGAGGGTGGTTAGAGGTGCGACAGGGAGGGCAGATTTTTGCAATTCAGAAGGACAGTGGCCGCCCAACACTGTAAGTTCGATGGCGAACATAATTAGATCTCCGGATATCATCTTAGTAGGTCCGCCAACCTTGCTGTGGCCCGGCTCCCATTGTCGCTTGAGCAGGGAAGGGGGGGGGGTGGGAAAGATAACACAACAGGAAAACAAAACTCGCAAACTCGTAGTGATGCTAAACAGCTATGACAAAAAACTGAAGCTAAGGTGCGAACGATACCGAGACAAAAACATATATTGTAAGCAATGCTGAAAGACAACCTCTCGAAATTGAGGGAGACAAGGAAACATGGGGAAGGACATGAAAAATAACACATCGATGAAAGGGAAACCCGGAAGGGGGAGGGGGAGTTTGCACTGCTCGATCACGATCAGTCTGGGGGAAAACACAGTCAGCCTGAGAGATCAAAATCAGTCTCAGAAAAAACACAACCACTCTAAATAGAAAAATAGTCCGACCGAGGTAATCATAATGAGCCTGAGATATCGCAACAGCCTGAGAGACCAAAAAGAGGATTGCCTGAGAAGACAACTCATTACCACAAGCCCAAGGCAGCGGCTAGACGCTTGACGAATCGAGACCATCAGGGATGTCAGAACTAGTGCTCGAGGCGAAGTGCTAGGTTTTTAAACCGCGATCTCTTTTATTAGGCTTATAAGGTCGTATGCGGTGACCCCTTGACATGCCAATGGTGGAGTTTTCAAAACGATCCTGCAGTTTAATACAGACCTAACCCGTGTTCATTTTGTAGAGAAAGCCAAAGCCAAATAGCTTTCACCTAGACTCAAGGGAATCTGCGCCGAGTTTACGTAGTCGCTGCCCCTATGACAACGTACTTATACCGTTACGAACGAAACATCGATGTGTGAAACTTCTCTGAATTTTTTCAACCTCGTTGATTAGCGATTTGCTGCGAGGCGACTAGACCGGCGAGCAATACTCCAGCAGGGGCCACATATAAAGGACGAAAAGTTGAAGCAACACAACCGGATCTCGAGTCCTAAATGCTCAAAATGAAATTTGGGCACTATTTACCCTTTACTGCCCCAGTCATCCGAAATCCGCCCGGTTTCTGACCGACTTTTTTCTCCGTAGGCAGAATTCGCTGAAAAGTTGGCTCCAGGGGTAGTTCGACCCGCTAAACACGAATATCGCATCCGCTTGACCCGAAACCTCCTGGCGCCAAAATACTCTCAATCACTAAAATACGATGAAGTACGTTCAGAGCCATGAGAATAGCTAAATGAGAAGCAAAGGGGCTTCCCAAGTTAATGGGTCAGTTTTGAAGACGTCACCACGAGAAACACTCAATTCCCACACGATTCCGTGGGAAATCCCATTTCCCACGAGCTTGCGTGTGAAAGCTGGGCGAGCGCGGGATTTTCGAAGAAGCGTTGGTCATGCATTTTTTCATGCAATATGGAAGTGGTATTCGTGTTCAGCGGGTCGAACTACCCCTGGGAGCAAGTTTTCAGCGAATTTGGTGATTTCGAGTATTTTGGCGCCGGCGCCCGTGGCGCGGGCGCCGGGAGGTTTCGGGTCAAGCGGATGCGATATTCGTGTTCGGGTCGAACTACCCCTGGAGGCAACTTTTCAGCGAATTCTGCTCACGGAAAAAAAGTCGGTCAGGAACCGGCCTGATTTCGTATGGCTGGGGCAGTAAAGGGTAAATAGTGCCGAAATTTGCTCTTCTCGCACAAGCCGTTATGTTATGTACATACTCGTCAAACTTGAGGCTGTCGCTATATACAACACCCAATTCTTGAACACGACGAGCAGGCGCAAGCGCCCTTTTCAGACATGGTAAAAACATAAGGAGGTGACTCCTCCCACTTGCCATCACAACAATTTTAGGGACAAAGATTTCAAGCTGCCATTCGCAAGATCAGTTCACAATAGCGTGAATGGACTTCTGAAGTTTATCCTAGTCATTTAGGGTAAAGATCTTAGAGTCATCCGCATACATGCTTCAGAGTGTTCTGGTTAGAAGAGATTCGACTAAGTCATTTATGTAATTTATGAACATGAGGGGCCCAGACATCTACCCTGTGGCACGCCGCTCGGTGTGGAATACGAGTAGGGTTCAATACCATTAATTACGACTGTTTGAAAACGGTTAAATAGAAAGGACTCGAGAAAGAAGAACTCAACCACTAATACAGTAAGCGGCAAGCTTTTTGAGCAGTAAGGGTATGGAAACGGAATCGAATGCTTTAGCGTAGTAACGATGTAACAAACTGAGACAAGACGCTATCGTCAACATATTTTTGCCATAGAGGGACAGTGAACAACAGCGCAGTAGCTGTCGACCTGTGCCGCCGGAACCCGTGTTGGGCATTATGCAGTAAGTTCCTTTCAACGAGAAAACTGATAATAGTACGACATGTTAAGCGCTCCTTTACCTGACTAATCGAACTGATCAGGCAAATAGGCCAGAGTTTGAAACCTCACTCTTGCAACCTTTCTTGGAAACGGGCCGCACAAATCCAGTTTTCCATAGGTCTGGGACTTCTCCATAAAGCGAGACCCTACTAAAGAGTTTTGAGGAAAACATAGGGAATGCCATCCGGTGAAGTAGACATTCTGCTGGAAAGCTTCCTCAAAATGGCATAGACCATATTACTGTTTACACAACCCAGTCAAGGCAGTCGAAAGGAGAGGGGGCAAGGTGGCATCACTGTTTTGAGGACTCTTGTAGACTGACCTGAAATATCTGGCAAACAAGTCAGCTTTACTGCGATCGTCTCCGATTAAAGTACCGTCCGAGATAAGATTGGGATTGATTCTGCTAGTTTAAGGGTCGTTTTACAGTAACCGAGAAAGTGTTTCGAATCTTGCTGGAGACAGTCTGATTTTTGCTTTGGTCAAGAGAGCCGGGGCCTAAGTGTAATACAGTTCGGGCGTTGTTCGCCTTGGAGGGGCATTTCGCAAGCTCTCATCGAAGTAGACACCTGTGCGTTACTGTGAATATGCGCGTAGAGCTTGTTTCACTTACCAGCTTCGCATGAATTTATAATTCTCAGAAGGTGAATCATGTGAACGATCTAACAAACTCGTAACATCCCCATCATCCCACCCCCTTACCCCTTCCCTCATGTTTCAGAGATCTGAGTATCATAAAGGACGAAGGTTTGCTTAATCCACCACCGAGGAAAAAGTTCCACCAGAATTTGGCCTGAATTTCGAAGACTGACAAGAATCCAACATCAGTATTACCAGGGTACAGCATCATTGTGCGAAACCCATAGGGGGGTCGTACTTGGCCGCTGGGGAGGGGGGGGGGTCCTAATCTCAAGGGTCACTCAGAGCCGAGCAATGCTTCGACATTTCAGTTGATAGTGGGAGTGGAGCTGTGGAAGTCAAGATGTTAAAAAAAATGAAGTTTATTATGATATTCTTTACAGCTTTAAATGCTACGTTTAACAGCCCTCTTTTCATGGGAAATCCCCAAGAATGGGTTCGTACTTGGCCGCGGGGGACGGGGGGAGTATCGCAAAAGTAGGCTCGCTAGGCATCAATGAGTACAAAGGTGTCATTGCTAAGGGTAATGGAAC